AAACAGGGCGTGTTGACCCCCCTCCTCGATCCCGCCCAGGCTCCAGGCCCTCCTGTGTAGCAATGCAAAAGGTGCCGCAGTTTAGAAGGGTCTAAGTCTGAGGGGGAAATGCTCAGAATTTTAAAAGACTCCTCTGTGAATAATGTCAGGATTTGATTTTATTATTTTATTTGATTTGATTGAGTGATTTTAGAGAAAGGGAGAGAGAAGCATCAGTCTATTGTTGCATTTATCTGTGCGCTCATTGGTTGACTCTTGCACGTGTCCTGACCAAGGATCGATCCTGTATTGGGATGACACTCTAACCAACTAAACTACCCTACCAGAGCAACATTGTCAGGATTTTAAATACCCTTCAGGATGCTGGGTGGGCGATGGACAGGCGGAAGCTGGGTTGGAGGCTGTAGAGAGCACCCAGCAGAGAAAGGAGAGGGCCAGAACTAAGTGAGAAAAGTGTTGAAGTGAATTGAAATGTCACCTCCAGGTGTGGGGTGACCGGAAGAGGTCTCACCCACTGCTGCTGGGACAGGAGACAACACAGTCTCTTAGAAGAACTGTTGAAGAGAATCATAGCCAAACGTGTACCCTGTGACCCAACAAGTCCACCTGTGGGCACATATCCAAGAGAATTGAGTGCAGTTGACCACCTAAGGACAGATATATCGGGAAGGCTCGCAGCAGCCTCGTTCATAATAGCCCCAAACTGGAAGAGCTCCCAGTGCCGTCATCAGCAGAACGGAGGGAGCGACTGCGGACTACCTGAGCAACGGACTGCCGCACCCAGGGAAGACCAAGCTGCAGCTTCGCCCAGTGATGTAGGTGAGTCCCGTACGTTGAGTAAAAGAAGGCGAATCTAAGAGTACACATGGTATGGTTCTATTTCTATGAAGTTCAAGAGCAGGCAAAACTAATTCATGATGATAGAAGTCAGACTAGTGGTTACCTATGGGTGAGGGGTGGGGGTGGGAAGGGGCCCAAGGAGCTTCTGAGCTACTGGAAATGTCCTGTATCTTGGTCAGGGAGGTAACTACATGGGTTTACATACATGTAAAAAGTCATTGAGTTGAACATGTTGGATGAGTGCACTTTACTATATGTATGATATTTTTTAATTGATCGATGGGAGAGAGAGAGACATCAGTTTGTTGTCCCACTTACTCACGCACTCACTGGTTGATTCTTGTACGTGCCCTGACGGGACCAAACTGCAACCTTGATGCATTGGGATGATGCTCTAATCAGCTGAGCTACCCGGCCAGGGCTACTGTATGTATGTTAAACTTCAGTTTAGTCAACAACCTAAATATAAAAACCAAAATTATGCAATCAATAGGAGAAAACATAGGGGTAAATGTTCATCTATCTGATAAGGGCTTGGTAGCCAGAATATATTAAAAAACTCATGAAATTCAACAACGACAAAATCAAACAATCCACTTAAAAATGGACAAAGGACTTGACTACACACTTGTTCAAAAACTATATACAAATGCCCAACAAGCACATAAAAAGATGTTTGTGGGTCATTAAGGAACATGACTGGTTTAAGAAAATGCAAACCAAATACAATGAGATGCCATTTCACACCCCCTAGGATGTCTTTAATTTTGAAAATGGAAAATAATAAGTGTTAGCAATAATGTGGAGAAACTGGATCATGCATGTGGGTAGAAATGTAAAATGGTACAAGCACTTTGTAAAACAGTCTGCCAGTTCCTCACGACGTTCAACAGAGTTTCCAGGTGACCCAAGATGAATGGAAACGTATGTCCGCACACAACTTGCACACAATGCCCATGGAGCATTATTCGTAATAGCCAAATGTCTGTCAACTTAGGAATAAATAAATTGTGGTATACCCATACAATAGAATATAATATTATTCAGCCATAAAAAGGATACTGATACCAGCTACGATATGGACGAAACTGAAAAACATATGCTAAGTGAAATAAACCACATGCAAAAGGTCACATCCTGTAGGATCCCATTGATATGAAGTGTCCAGACTAGGCAAAGCCATAGAGGCAGAAAGCAGATTAGTAGTTACCAGAGGGTGGGTAGGAGGAGGGAACTGGGAGTGATTAATTAAAGGGTATGCAGTGTTTTCCTGGGATGATTAAAAAAGTTTTGAGACTGAATAGAAGTGGTGGTTGCACAACATTGTGAAGGCACTGAAGCCCATTGAAGTGTACACTTTAAAATGGTTAATTGTATGTTAGGTGGCTTTCGCCTCAATTTTAAAAATAAATAAAGTTTAATTTAAAAGTGAATGGAAACTGAAAAACAAACATCACCTCCAAGGCCCCGGGACACTGACAGAACCTGCTGGATGCCAAGCACATTCCCCGGTGGCCTCCTTTCTCTGCACTGCAGCCCCTACAGAGGGGGCTTCTCGGGGAAGCTGAGCCCAACGCGCGGGGCTGCCAAGAGGCAGGGCCCCGTCTCTCAGACCCCCGGGGAACCAAGGCCGCCCCAGTGCTTGGCCCCCTGGGATTCTCGCCTGGCTGGGAGCCGGTGAGGTCAAGGGCCAGGAACGTTTCTGCAGCCACGAGGCGGGAGTCAGTGACTGAGGAGCTTGGAATGTGCTGCTTCTGAAAGGACTTCTTGTGGCTCCACCAACGGTTAGAGCAGGAAGGGACTTTCAGAGCCATGTAATCACACACACACACACACACACACACTTGAGACCTGAGCCCCGGCTCAGTCACTGCCCCCAGGCTGTTCTGGGAGCAGGCAGGGTGGTGTTTCTGGAACAGGCAGATGGATATAGTCTGATCTGACCCAGACCTTGTATGTGTCACTACCTGGCCCCCTGTGTCACCCTGTCCAGCTTGGACTCAACCAAGGAGTCCAGATGTGAGTCTGCGTGTGCCTTCGGCATATGATCAGAGCCCCAAGGGCTCTCAACCCTGGGGCCTTTTGTAAATTAATACATGCATTTATTTTTGATATTTGTCAAGTTCTTCTATGTGCTGTGCTAAACATGTGTTTTATGTTATTTCTAGTCTCCAGTAATTCTGAGATGTAATTATCATTATGTCTCCATTTCACAGATGAGTAAACAGAGGTGCAGAGAGATTGTCGGTCTCATCGAGGTCATGCATCTGGTGGAGAGCAGAATCCAAACTCAGAACCGAGAGCTGTCTGACTCCAGCACTTGTGCTTTTTCCACGGGTCAAACTGCCTCAAAAATCTCTCTCTTACACACACACCCTACATTGTTCACTGTAAACCACTGTTGGTTTCTTTTCCTTTCAGAGAAAGATAAGCATTGAGGAGAACAAGGGCAAGGGAGCGGCACCAGGCTGGTAACCACCTCCTGAGTGTGTGGCAATTTATAGCTTACAAAGGACTTTCACATTTGTGATCTCATCTGATCCCACAGCAGCCCCATGAGGTCGGCAGGAGGCTCAATTATTCCCGTGGGGACTGGCACTCAGAGGGAAGGTCACCACCCAGGGTCACAGACAGAAAACGGTAGCTCTGGGACTGGAAGCCCAGGGCCAAGCTGGCCTTCTCATTCTAAGTCCTGCATGTACCCTCTTTCCCCAAGGAAGGCAACCTAGGATCCCACCTCTCTGAAATCTTCCTCCCCTGAGGACAAAGCCGGAGCTGATCCCACGGAGGTACGAGTGGACGCCAGGAAGCTCGGCCCTCTCCCCGCAGCTGTGTGATGTTGGAGGCGCAGTTTCCTCCAGAGGATGGGAGGATGCGGAGAAGAAACTCTGGGGTGGCCCAGCGGCCCTGACGGTCTGCATGTGTGAAAAGGTGTCTGGGCTTGGGGCTCCCGCAGCTCCGATCCGGCAGCCTGCCTCAGCCACTCGCTCAGTGATCTCAGGCACTTCCCTTCACCATCTCTGAGCCTCAGTTTCCCCATCTGTAAAATGGAATGGTGAAGGTACCTACCTTCCAGGGTTGTTGGCCTCTGGTTGTTGACATTTGACCCTGGCCGCACGGTCACACTGACCTTTGACATAATCTTCAGACAAGGCTTGTATGACCACACAGCCCCGGAAGAGCACAGACAATTAAAGGAGAAGGTGTTTTTCAGGCCACAGGACACCGGTGTCCTACTGCAGGCTCTCGCTGCTTAGAGGCGCTCTGAATTAGAACTTGTTATTATAGCTCCTGAAATTATCCTGTGAGTAGCACAATTATTTTGCATTGGACTTGTGGGTAATTCAAAACATTAACTTGTTCACTGTAAGCATTTAAAATATACAAGTATTTTTATAACTCTGGTTTGTCATTTAGTTACTTTTTATTATACTTGAACCTTAAAACAATGCCAGTTGGAAGGGCTCCACGCCACGACGTGCAGCCTTCGATGGTATTAGTACGGTTCCTGGCATGAAATAAGCACCCAGTTAATAATGATAATAATAATATCAATCATATTTATAATGCACTTTACAGTTTTCAAACCCTTTCATATTCTTTATTCCAACTCATAGCTATACACAGTAGGGTAGCTATGTATTTCGTCCCATTTTACAAATAAAGAAACTGAGGCTGGACCAGCCGGGTAGGGGGTTCGGGGCGCAGGCCCGGGAGTGGGGAGCGTCTCCTAAAACCGCTGGCTGGCAGGGCGGGGCGGGGCCGTCTCCTGTCTGCTCTCAGGTGCTGTAATCCGCCGGGGAATCCTCGGCTTCACCTGGGCGCGGCGAGGAAATTGCACCATGTATGGGCAGCTACGTCAGAGGGGGCGGACCCGCCGCTGGGGCTAGGGGACGTCAAGTCCTCCAATTTCCCCACGAAAAGGCGGCTACCGGACTGTGGGAGGTGTTCAACTGTTCGCCACGGACAGGCAGAAGGTGGCGCGTCGAGAGAGGCGGAGCCCCGAGGTGACCGGCGCCGCTGCGCAACGCCCCCACCCCTTAGTTGAAGTGGTTCAGCCCGAGAACTTTTCATTCATAAAAAGAAAAGACTCCGCGAGGAGCGGGTGACTCAGAACCCAAGCAGCCGACGCTGACCCCATAGAGCAGCCAGCCCAGGGCATGTTCCGAGACTTCGGGGAACCCGGACCGAGCTCCGGGGCCAGCGGTGCGTACGGCGGCCCGGCGCAGCCCCCGGCGACAGGCCAGCAGGTGAGAAGGCGCCGAAGCCTGGGGTCCCTGGGGGAAACAGCGCCTGGGACGCTGCGGTCCACTCCGACACGCGCTGGGACGTGGGCCGGGAACAGGAGTAGGGACTGGGTATGCGGGCCGTGACCGCGGGTCCTGCGCTCTCTCTGCCGTCCGGGGACACCTTCCCGCACGGCCCAGGGAGACGCGCGCGGGGGTAAGATCTGCGAACGTCCCCTCTCTCGCTCGTTCTTTTTCCCCTCGCTGTCTACTATATATCCCTCCGTCTTTCTTTTCCTCCTGTCCTCACCTTCTTTATTTCCTCCTGTCCGCCGCTAATTTCTTTGTCCATCTGCGTTAGAAGGGGGCCCGGGCACCTGCAGTAGTCCTACCCCTGACAGGATCACGGGGTCTGATTCATCTCGGACTAAATTCCCGGGATGGGATTCGGAGTCTGGACTGGGACCCAGACGTCCCACACAGGGGGGCGGCGGGATCCATCCGCAGGCTAGCCCCGACAGACCGGGAATCCTCAGCCCTGTCGGTGATCGTCTGTGTATCTGTCCATTTGTTCCTCTCTACCCCGCCGCCAAGTCCCTATCCCCTTCTCGGCGCAGTGGAGTCTGGTGGGCTCCAGAGACCGGTTCTTGACCCCGTCCTTTATAGGTTGGGGCCAATCAAGACGCGAGGTGCGGGAACGTGCGCAGGGTCATGCAGCGGGCAGCTCCCGCACTCCCGACTCTTGGCGCCCGCTGGCGGTTGGGGGGACCCGGGAGGTTGCAGGTGCCCATTTCCTGTCGAGGGGCCTCGAGCACGTGTCGCTAGGGGAGGGAAGGAGCGGCGTCCGTTCCGCCGAGTCACGGCGGCCGAGTCACGGCGGCTGACTCACCCGGGGGTGCCCCTCCCTTCCTGGCCCGGAGCGGCCCGGGCCTGGACAACCTCGGGAGCGGGAGATACCGCCAGTGGTGCCTCGAGCCCGGAACTGGGGTCACTGGGCCTCTGGGGCCCCAGCGCTGGGCCAGGGACACAGCTGCACGGACTTGCCTGGGCTTGAGCCGCCTTTTCCCGGAGGACTGGGCGCACACACCCTGAGCCCAGCCCCAGGGCTTGAACCCAGTTCTCCCGGAACACTGAACCCCCAATCTCAAGCCATTCCTTCCATTTCTGGCTGAAAGAGAATAGTGGCAAGTAATACCCGGAGCGCTAACAGTACAACCAAGCATCCTACTGGGCGGTTTGCTCCCCATTTACCGTATTTCACAAAATGCAAGACCCCATTAATTTTAAAACCAACCATTATTTTGTGCCACTAAATTTTTTTAAAGTTGCCAATTATCATTGCTTGTTGGCCTTTTGGCCAAGATCAAGTGTAGAGATCTGTTCTTATCAGTTTAATATCTGATTGGTCCTCTGAGGACCACATATTAAATGGATTTTTGGAGCAGGAGATGAAATAGGAGCTTGCTCCACTCATGCTGCGCATTGAGCCGGCATTGCAGTACCTCTGGGAAAGGCGCACTCACTCAGGGGCAAATAAATAAATAAATAAACAAATTCTTTAAAAAATTGCCAATTAAACTGATTTCAGAGCTGCTAAAGGGTACTTCTTAGCATCGATGAAATGCCATAATTCCCACCTATGACAATATTAAAAATGAGGAAACTGAGGCACATTGAGGTTAAACAACTTGCCCAAAGTCACAGCCAAGAAGTGGCTGAATTAAGGTTAGAACTGAACAGCCTGAACCCAGAGCAGTGGCTCTTGTCCTCTACAGCCCTTACCAGGCTTTGAGGACACACATTCTCTCACCTGATTCTCACAGCCACTCCTGGAGTTAGGAGCTGTAATTATCCTCTTTGTGCAAATGGGGCTCAGGCAGGGTGCAGGAGTGGGAAAGAACCCGGTGGTCTGGGCCCAAATCCCACTTCCCACTTAACTGGCTGTATGTCTAAGGACAACCTTTTCTCTGTCTGAAAATGAAGAGACTGTTGTGCAAATTAATGAGTCAGTATTTGTAAAGTGGTTGGGACAGTACCTGGAATTCATACTTTATACGTATTAGCTCTGATTGGGGAAATGGAGGTACAGAGAGGTTATGTGACCTGCCCAAAGTCACACAGCTCAGGAGCAGGGATTTGTTACTTACTCTCTCTAACTGCCAAGCTGTGCTCTTGCTCTTTCTGGTGTCTCAGCATCTGTCTTGAGGGTGGACAGCAGTGTGGCCTCTGCCCACTGGAAGCCCCTCAGTTAACACAGACCTCACCCCTGGCCTTCCATTCTTATCCCTCAGAAGTTCCACCTCGTGCCAAGCATCAACGCACTGAGCCAGGAGCCGCAGTGGATGGTTCAGCCTCACTTCCTGGGACCTAGTAGCTACCCAAGACCTCTGGCCTATCCCCAGTACAGCCACCCACAGCCCCGGCCAGGAGTCATCCGGACCCTGGGGCCACCTCCAGGCGTGCGTCGCCGGCCCTGTGAACAGGTAAGGAACAGAGGCCTTACGCTGGTTCTGATACCCACAGGGGTGCAGAGGTGCAGAGTATAGCTCTTGTTCCAGAGGAGAACACGAGCCTGGAAGGATGGAGAAAGTAGCACCACTAGTGACTATTGGCCAGGGTGGAAAGTAAGGGGAGCCTCTAGGAAGACCCAGAGGGCAAAGAGGTCACTTCTGGATCAGGGAATGCTTCCTGGAGGTAGAGGAGTATTAGCCTAGAAAGATGGGTAGGATTTGCACAGCTAGAGTTGAAGGAAAGGACATTCCAGGGGGAGGAGATGGCAGGAGAAAGAATGGAGGTGGAGCCGTAGCCAGGTAGCTCAGTTGGTTAGAGCATCTACCCAATATGCCAAGGTTGGGAGTTCAATCCCCAGCCAGGGTACATAAAGGTAGCAACCAAAGAATGCATAAGTTAAGTGGAACAACAAATCGATGTTTCCCTCTCTCCCCTTCATCTCTTTCTCTAAAATTAATAAATAATTTTTTTAAAAAAAAGAATGTCAGTGAAGGTGAGAATATGTAAGGTGCATGTGGAAAGGTTCGTGGACAGTAAAGGGTATCCACCTCCTGACATGAATGGAGAGGGCGAGCTGCATATTTCTATGTAGCTGGGGAAAGAACAGAAAGAAGGTCCTCTGTAGCTACTGAGTCTCAGTTTCCCTATCTCATTTAAAACCTCATAAAACCCTCTGGGGAATGTACTCTGGTTTCCCCCATATTACAGCCAAGGAGATGAAGGCCCAGAGAAGTAAAGTCACTTGCCCAAGATTACACAAGTATTGAGTAATAGGACAGGTCTGCCCAATTCTAAAGATAGATTCGAACCAGCAACCACACCATCTCACTCAGAGCTAAGAGCAGGCTTGAAGAAGAGCGAGCTGGGAACTTTTGCCTCCCCAACTAGGGTTCCTACCCACACACTACTAATAATGTCCTTACCAAAATAAATAAGAGATAGTCTCTAAAGGAGTGGCACCTCTATCCTCTCCCTGGAGCTCTTTTTTTAAAAGAAGGTTTTATTTATTTATTTTTAGAGAGATGAGAAGGGAGGGAAAAAGAGAGGGAGAGAAACATTGATGTGTGAGAGATACATCAATCAGTTGCCTCTTGCACACCCCCAATCGGGGACCTGGCCCGCAACCCAGGCATGCACCCTGATTGGGAATCAAACCCCAACCTTTAGGCGCTCAATCTACTGAGTTACACCAGCAAGGGCCACCCTGGAGCATTTTAGTATATGAGACTGTCATGGGGGAGACTTGCACATTAAACAGGCTGCTCTAGCAGCTGGGTAGAGGATGGGGAAGGAGGTTGGGATCCTGGGAAAGATGTACTACTGGCAGGGGAGGCTTTCCTGGCTGGCCTTCGTGGCCACCTGGAAGAGGACTATGGCGTGAGTCCCAGAGGGAGGTTTCTGGACTTCCTTCCTTCAGCCCTGTCCTGAGGGTGCTTTGATCCTGGGGACTTGTAGACTGGGACTGTGAGCTGTGAGTGGGGTTCTTTGGGGAGAAGATGCTCTCCATAAGCTGGCCTTTCAATGTTGAATAGAGTGAGTGGATTTTAATTTCTGCTCTAGGACCATAAACAAGTTATAGATCTTCCCTGGGCTTCAGTTCCTTACATGTAAAGTTGTGTTAAGAATCTAAGAAAGGCACCCTGGCCTGTGTGGCTCACTTAGTTGTGCATGCCCCACAAACAAAAAGGTTGCCGTTTTGGTCAGGGCACATGCCTGGGTTGTGGGCCAGGTCCCTGGTTGGGGTGCATGCAAGAGGCAGGGGATCAATGTTTGTCTCCCTCTCTTTCTCCCTCCCTTTCCCCTTCCCTTCCCTCTCAATAAATAAATAAACAAATAAACAAACAAACAAACAAACAAACAAACAAAACTTTACAAAAGAATATAAGAAAAGAACTTTGCTGACACACAGTAGATTCACAGTAAATAACAATTCAGCAGCACTCATTAGCCCCTGCTAGTGCTTACAGCCGCTGGAGAAAAGGAGACTTGGTTATAAAGAGATTGGAAAGAGTGGGGTTCCCTCGGAAAAGAGTGGCTGGCTCCCAAAGGCTCCAAGGAGGAAAGGCTCTCTGTACTTCTGGCGGGGGAGTGAGAGAAGGCTTCCTGGAGGCGGAGGCATCCTAGTGGAGTCCTGGGAGATGAAGAGGGTTACGGTGTGTGCCTTCCGAGAGGGGAACCCCGAGAGGGGAATCGTAGTAGGTAAAAGCTGGGTGGGAGGAAGAAATATGACTAGTGATAGTTTACTAAAGTGAGATCGGGGAACCCGTGCGGCGTGGTGGTCCTTAAAGTGCAGAAGGAGGGTGCCCCGGCGCTGCCATGCCCTCCACCGGGGTCCTACCACTGGGCAACCGCACCATGGGAGTGACGGGCAGCCAGTTGTCCGGGACACACCTCACTGGTCCCTCTGTTCCCCAGATCAGCCCGGAGGAGGAAGAGCGCCGTCGAGTGAGGCGCGAGCGGAACAAGCTGGCCGCGGCTAAGTGCAGGAACCGGAGGAAGGAGCTGACCGACTTCCTGCAGGCGGTGAGCACTGGTCGGTGCGGAGGGTGCCCAGACCCTGGCCCACCGAACCTCGGAGGGGCCTCAGCTCCTGTGAGCCTGTGGGGCCCCAAAGGGCGCTGGAGGGGCAGTCCTTCGGAGAGAAGGACACGGGAAAATACTCGGACCAACAGCAGAGCAGAGTCGAAGCTTCCGCCGACAATCTCCTAAAACGCTCCCGGGCTTGATTGGAATCCTACACGTCTTCTCCCAAGGGCTCATGGGAATTGTAGTCCAGACTTGCTGGAGACTCCTCAGTCACCCTACTCCCAACCGCCCAATCACCACCACCATTGGGAAGGCGTCGCCGTATTAGGACCTCAGCTTCTTGACTCCTCTCCTGACCTTCTCCCTACAGGAAACCGACAAGCTGGAAGACGAGAAATCAGGGCTGCAGCGAGAGATTGAGGAGCTGCAGAAGCAGAAGGAGCGGCTGGAGCTGGTGCTCGAAGCCCACCGCCCCATCTGCAAAATCCCGGAGGGAGACAAGGAGGGCGACACTGGCGGCACAGGCGGTAGCAGCAGCACGCCAGCCCCGGTGCCTTGTATCTCCCTTTCTCCGGGGCCTGTGCTTGAACCTGAAGCATTGCACACTCCTACGCTCATGACCACACCCTCTCTGACTCCTTTCACCCCCAGTCTGGTCTTCACCTACCCCAGCACCCCTGAGCCCTGTGCCTCAGCCCATCGCAGGAGCAGCAGCAGCAGTGGGGACCCGTCCTCTGACCCCCTCGGCTCCCCCACCCTCCTGGCGTTATGAGGCACTCTGGCCCCCCCTCCCTGCGGGTGCCACCCTACTCAACACCTCCTCACCCATTGGTCCAGCTGGCCTGGGCCATATTCCATGCTCAACCCAGGCAGGTTCTTCTCCATCCTTCCGATGAGACTGAGCCTGTTTTGCTCCCTGGTAGAGCCAGCTTGGGGCCACCAAAGCTGCTCACTCTAGAGGTGTTTCTCTAGAGCTGGCCTCTCTAGCACAATTTGCTTTAAATCAGAGACAAAATATTTCCCATTTGTGCAAGAAAACTCCTGGCAGCCCCAAAGGACTTTGTAGATCCCTAGAGGTTTTCTGGAGCCCTAACCCGCTCCAGACCTCCCCTAAGTCTTCATCACCTTCCTGTGACCCACCCAGCCCTCCCCTTTGACAGGTGATATACCAGCCTAGAACACTAACTCACCCAGCCCCACTGCCAGCAGCACCAGGTGATTGAACCAGGGCATTCTGCCGGCCCCTCCAGAAATGGCACAGCTGAAGAAGGTGCCAGAGACTTCTGTGATGAGCTGAGTTGCAGCCCGGGCTCTGAGAAGACTTTAGCTCCAGGGTATCTAAGCCTCCACCACAAAGGCAGCTGCTATTTATTTTCCTAAAGAGAGTATTTTTATACAAATCTGCCAAAATGAAATAAAAGGCTTGAAGCTCCAGCCTCATTTCATTGGCTCCAGAGGCTAAAGGGAGAACATTTGGATCCAGAAGTCCTGGGCTCAAGTGTCAGTTCCACTGGCCCACTGCATGACCTTGGACAAATTATTTGATATTTCTGGGCCTCCACTGTCTTACTGGAGAAACGAACCTACATCTCATCGCGAGGACTGAGAGGAAGAGTGCTATGGGATGCAAGCCAAGAGGATCATCCTCCTTCTCCTGGTGGGGACCCACCCTGCTCCTGCGTGCACCACAGGAGGGCGCTGTTATCACTGTTAGGCCCCTTCCAGCCTGAGAGGAGGCAGCTGAGTGGCTTCTAGGCCCCCAACACCTGCTTCCTGCCCCATTGTCTTGGACAGGAAGGAACCGGGAAGGGGGCTGGAGCCACTTCAGGGACCGGATCACGGCCTGTACCGGTGCCTGCCGGCGGGGCGGGGGTGGGGAGGGTTGTAGCCAGAGGCTTACCACGGTCCCATATCCCTCCCCAGTCTCGAGTAATGGGGGAGGATCAGACACCTTAGTTCTGCAGCCGCTCCGGAGGGCCATGATACCCCATCTCGATGTCCCCGCCCTTGTCCTAATCCCGGCGAGTCCCAAACAGACGCTGCCCATGGGGTCTGCTTCCGTCCCAGTTTATTAACCGCCACCCAGCCCCCTGCAAGTCCCTCCGCTCCAGCTTCCAGTCCCCTCTTGCCCCGCCAGCGAGAGCAAGGGGCCCTCCTCAATGCTAGGGTGTCTTAAATCCACGCCAGCGGCCCCTCGTGTGCAGCTGAGCGGCTTCCAGGTCCCGAGGTCCACCGCAATCCTGGCGCTTGGGGAGCTATCCGGGCGGGCGTCGGCGCGAAGGAAGCTTAGCCCTCAGTCATCTGGAGAGCAAGCCAGGGGCAACTGATCAGGACTACCCACGCTGCCGGTGCTGGAGCTTCCATCGCCCAAGTCGCGGGGCCCGCAGGGAGGCAAGGCGAGCTCGGGGGTTGGCCCGGCGCCTGAGCCCCCCACGCCACCGGGACTGCCGCGGGGGCCCCACTCCTCGCCCAGCGCCAGGCAGAGCTCCTTAAGCGCTAGATTTTCCCTCAGCAGCTCTTCCTGGCGGCCCTCCAGTTCGGCCAGCTTCTGCCAACAACCGCCCAGGTCCTCACGCACAGCCCGGGATGCCTGGGTCCCAAAGAGCTGCCACTGGCGTGCGGCGCGCCGCCCGCGCTGGCGCTCCGAGTCCAGGAAGCAGCAGAGGTCGCGCAGCTCACGATTCTCGGCCTGCAGGCGCCGGTTGAGCTGCTTGAGCTCGCGGATCTCGCCTAGGTGACCCTGCAGCTGTCGATTCACCTCCTGCATAAGGCGGCCGCGCTGCACCAGAGCCGCCAGGCGCGCTGCCTCCTCCCGCCGCAGGCGCCGCACCAGTTCTTCCTTGCCCAGCGCCGCCATCTCCTCGTCCGTCAGCTCCTCCAGGCCGCCCGCATCGGCCTCCATGATTGCTCAGGTCTCTGGAGCATCGCCTGCCCGCCGCCGCGGTCCAGGTGCCCCACGTCGAGCCCCGAGCGGCTCAGGCTCAAGACCCAGCTCCGCCCGCGGGAGGCTGTGGCCGGCTAGCGTAGGCTGCAGCAGCCGCGCGGGGGTGGGCACGCGGCAGGGCGCGCGCCGAGGCGGGGCCGCGTGACGTTAAGGAAGGACAGCCAATCCAGGGAAGACTCCACTGAAAGGGGCGGGGCCTCAGCGCAGAGGGCGTCCATTCCCTGCCCACTCCCGACTGCCTGCCGCGTCCCTGATCGTTGGGGTCAGTGGGTCCCTGCACCAGCGCCTGTCATCCCGAAACCAGGCGCTTCGTACCTCCCAATCCTCAACTTCGAGCCTAGGCCTCTCGGCTCCTGAGAATCGAGACTCGGGTGTCTGCCCCGGAACTCTCCCGCTCACCGCCCTCCACCCCAGACAGAACCCAGACCTACCGCATTAACATCCTTCCTAGTATAGCTCGACCTCAAGAGTGAGTCTCGGCTCACTGAGCATCGCTCCCAACTCCTCCAAGAGTCCTGAATCGCCCTGAGCTCGCCCTCTCACGGGGCGTTTTCCGCCCAGGGGTGGAGAACGCAGGAGACATACAAGGGATTCGTTTGTTCAATAAAGCTTTACTTTAAGATTCATGCAGAAATAAACTTGACCAAGATTCTTACCCTGTCCTCAAAGAAGTCTTAATCTGGTCAGGGTCAAGACAAGGTGAGTTAAACAAGAAGCACATGGAATAGGGACAGGGTCTGAGGGAACCGCCCCCGCATCCGAAAAAGTTTTCTGAAAAGAGATGATATCCGAAGGTCCCCGAAAAATGCATAGGGCTTTGTCGAGTAATGAGAGAGCTAGTTCAGTGAGAGTAAATAGCGTGGTGAAAGACGCTGGGGCCTGAACGAACAGTGAGAGTAGCTTGATTTCTTTTTGAAAGGCAAGTGCCTGAAGAAAGTGGTAGGACAGGGAAGAAACAAAGGTAGTCGGAAGCCAGATTCTTAAGGGCTTTCAGTACTAGGCTGGCGCATTTTCACAGGCCAGTAAGGATTTTAATCAGGGGAGTAACATTTTAAAATACGTATTTTAAAAACGATTGTTCAGGCTGCTCTGTGTGGGATGGACAATGAGGAGAGTGTGTAGGCAGGGAGATTAGTAAGAACACTGTGTCAACGGGCAAGGAGAGCTACCCGGAAGGACTGCGCGCGGACAGTGTTAGTGGGGGTGGGGAGGACAAAAGAGATACTAGAAATATTCAGGAGGCAAATCAGCAGAACTGAATGTGGAGAGAGAGGAGTCTGAGAGAAACTTGGTTTCTGATATGAGAACTTGGTGGGTGTTGGGGCTGATACTGAGATAGGAAAGCGGGAAAGAAATCCACTGGGGAGACCGACAGGTCTATCTAGCTTTGGGGGGCTGTGGAGAGCTAGCGTGAAAAGAAACACGCACAGATAGGCGGCCCTCCTGATGTGGACTTCCAGGCAGAGCTCTGAGCTGCGGAATAAGAGAGGTCATTAGTTAGTGGCGGGGCGGGGAGGGTGGATGCTGTTAAAAACATGAGAGCAAGTGCCCCAGCCCAGGAGAGAAGCTCCTCCTCAGGACGGACTGCGGGGCTCCCAGCAAAGGCCTTTGGAAGTCCGTTACACACCTTTATTGAGAAGAAAAGATTTAGGGTTGAGCCCTGTGAAACCTCTAAATTTAGGATACAGGTCAAAGTAGGCCCGTAAAACAGAAGAGAAAGTGGGAGTGGGGGGTGGGGGCGGGACAGGAGGAAGTGACGGGGAAGGATTCCAGGATGGGGGAGACTGGCCGGGCCGGCGTAGGGGTGAGTGTGGAGACGGAGAAGCCTGGGATTCCCCCTCCTGCGGAAAGGGGGAGCTACTCCACGGCCTCTGCCTCTTCCCTCGCAGGTCTTACCCCATCTTCTCTGTCCCGGAAGTGGTCCTTCTGTGACTCCGGGTGCCGGGCGCGGAATCTCGGCGCTCCCGGAAGTGGCCCGGCGGCTGCGCTCCCGGCCCGGGCAGTTCTTGCTCCGGCTGGGGCGCTGCGGCTGCTCCCGGCCGGCTGTAGCCATGACCAACGAGCTGGACATCTTCGTAGGGAACACGACCCTCATAGACGAGGACGTGTATCGCCTCTGGCTGGATGGTTACTCGGGTCTGTGGGGGTCGTGTGGGGGAGGCCGTCAGGAAGAGCGGTCGTTTTCGATGGGTGGAGGAGCGGAGCCTGGACTTGGGCATCTTATAGGGTAGCGGGCAGAAGGAATAAGGGATGTATGGAGATAGGGGCTGAAATCCCTGGAGGGGCTTCGAGGTCTATGGGGCAAAGCCTGATGCTAGCGCCTACTCCCCAGTGAGCGACGCGGTGGCCCGAAGGGTGCGCTCGGGAATCCTGGAGCAGACGGGCGCCACGGCAGCGGTGCTGCAGAGTGACACCATGGACCACTATCGAACTTTCCACATGCTCGAGCGCCTGTTACACGCACCACCCAAGCTGCTGCACCAGCTCATCTTTCAGATCCCGCCCTCCCGACAGGCGCTGCTCATCGAGAGGTGGGATACCAACCACTCTCATCATATACCCATCTTGCAGGCCGAAACTGAGGCCCAGGAAGGGACAGGACTTACCCAGGCAGTGAGAAAGTTGCGAGCACAAGGGGCCAAACCCAGGCCCCGTTTCTGGTCCTTTATGGAAAGTGAGTAGTGTCCTCTGCCTCCACGCAGGTACTATGCCTTTGATGAGGCCTTTGTGCGAGAGGTCCTGGGCAAGAAGCTGTCCAAGGGCACCAAGAAAGACCTGGATGACATCAGCACCAAAACAGGCATCACCCTTAAGAGCTGCCGAAGACAGGTGGGCACTGCAGCCCCCTCTTTACCAACAAAACATTTCATCTATAGTCCACCTTTTCAGTCCCTCCCTTTGGCCATGGCCCCACCTCTGATTGTGGCAGCAACTTCATACCCAGCCTCTTCTCCCCTGTTCTGCCCCTTCCAAACCATCCTCCGCTCTGCAACCAGGGTGACCTTACAGAATTCCAGATCTGACCATAGCTTTCTCCTGTCCATAAATGTTCATTGGTTTCCACTCCCTCCTGGATAAGCCACTCTTGGCCTTGGCCTTCATGCTCTCTGCTGATTTGATCCTTGCCAGCCTCTAGGCTTACATGTCCCCAGTGCCCAGCTTTGCTTTGCTCATGCTGTCCCATCCCGGAGGGTGCTGTTCTTGGCCATATCTACTCGTTGAAATCCAAGTCAGGGTCAGGTGTCACCTTCTCCACAAGACTTTCTGGTGGTGCCAGTGAGAAGCAACTCTTCCGGACGTTTCGTGTCTTTTCTCTGTGTCTCCTGTGAGCTCCCTGCATACAGCTTAGCATTTACTCATTCTTTTACTTTTTGGGCCTTAGCCAGGAGGGCCAGTTCCAGCACAAGCTGGTGAAGAACTGGAGAGTGCGATGCTAAAGTAGGAGTAGACATCTATCCGAGGCAAGATGGAAAAGCTGGTAGACGTTTGTTGAATTGATAGCTTCCTGAAGGAATAACACATGCTACTCATGCTATATCAGCTTCTGTTGACCAGATAGGTAGAGAGGTGAGGGATGGTGTTCAATAAGGAGTTGATTGGGTTAGCAACCTCTGACTAGTCCTCCCTCCCCTAACTGCCCTGCAGTTTGACAACTTTAAACGAGTCTTCAAGGTGGTGGAGGAAATGCGGGGCTCCTTGGTCGATAACATCCAGCAACACTTCCTCCTTTCCGATCGGTTGGCCAGGTGAGGGGCCGTCTGTCTCCCCTGTTCTGCACACTCCTTCCCTGGGCCCCAAGGCTGGTCCATCTTCCCCACCCCAACCCACCTGACCTCCTGGCTATGATGGGGGAATGGTTATCTCATTCCTGGACTGCAATTTGGATCAGACTGGCATGGGTTCAAATCCTAGCCTGGCCATTTACCAACTGGGCTGTTGTGAGGTGCCACATATAAAGCACATGGCACAGCCTCCGGGGCCTAGGGAGTGCTCAGCAAATGGGAACGGTTACCATCGTGGAGTCCTGCTATATCCCCTGGGAGTCCTGGGTCGAAACCGCTTTCAACAGATGAGGAGGCCCAGAGAGGGGTGGCATGAAACACATCACACCGCGAGCTAGGACGGGGAGAGGCCAGAGCTCAGATGCCCAGCAGAGGCCGCGGGTGGGAGCTGCTTGCTAGGAAGGCACGTCCAGCCCTGACAGGTCTGCTTTCCCCTCCCTGCAGGGACTATGCAGCCATTGTCTTCTTTGCCAACAACCGCTTTGAGACAGGAAAGAAAAAACTGCAGTATCTGAGCTTCGGCGACTTTGCCTTCTGTGCTGAGCTCATGATCCAGAACTGGACCCTTGGAGCCGTCGGTGAGGCCCCCACTGACCCAGGTGCCCGGACATCCCCCCACCCTCTCGGCCTGCTCCCCCACCAGCACGTTGTCCTGCAGGCCCCCAGTTCCCAGCATTCTTTCTTCTTCAGGACCCCTCCCCGGCCACCTCTGTTCATGGTCCAGTGTCCCCACATGCACCTTGTCTGCAGAGAGCCCACTGCTTCTCCGTGGCCTGGGCAAGGCATCCCCCCTCTCTGATACTCTGATTTCTCTTCTCTCTCATGGGGGTGCCATGTGGTTGGTCAGGAAAGCTTGGGATGTCACTGGGTAGCATTTTGTCACCCCCCCCAACTCCCTCCATGGGCCTCACTCAGACTCCCAGGTGGATGACATGGATGTGGACTTAGACAAGGAGTTTCTTCAGGACTTGAAGGAGCTCAAGGTGCTGGTGGCTGACAAGGACCTTCTGGACCTGCATAAAAGGTGACTGAGGAGGGGGTCCATGGAGCAGGACCCGAAGTGGAGGCCTGGGCAGCTCTAGGTTTGACTCTGTCTCCCTGCAGCCTGGTGTGCACTGCCCTCCGGGGAAAGCTCGGTGTCTTCTCTGAGATGGAAGCCAACTTCAAGGTCTGTGGGCCAAGCCTGCCTGGGTCCCTTGGGTATCTTCAGCCTCCAATTCACTGTCCCACCAGGCAACTCCGCTCATGACCTAAGTTGGCCAGCAGGTGGCGGTGCTGCTCCCTCTGCCCACCTGTAATGGGGGGAGCCAGCTCCTAATCATTGGGGAGTTATTTGATTGAGGGAGGTGGATAGATTTGGGGTGGCGCCTGCCCCTCCCCCAGCCTCTGGGGCAGAAAGCAGAGCTCCCAGGCTCCCTGCCCCACAGAACCTGTCCCGGGGGCTGGTGAATGTGGCCGCCAAGCTGACCCACAACAAGGACGTCAGAGATCTGTTTGTGGACCTCGTGGAGAAGGTGAGCTCTCCCACCCACTGCGCGCTCCTCCGGCCTGGCCTGTCTCCGAGCTGCACCTGTGCTAGATGTTCCCTTGGACCCGCAGTTTGTGGAGCCCTGCCGATCTGACCGCTGGCCCCTGAACGACGTGCGGCTCTTCTTGAATCAGTACTCAGCGTCAGTCCACTCCCTGGATGGCTTCCGGTGAGAGACCCCCGGCCTCCTGTTCAGCGTGGCCTCCCCCCAGCCAACCTCCTGCCAGAGCCTGGCCCTCCTGCAGACTCGGGGTTCCTGGGTTTGCCGCCCTGGGTGTGGAAGTCTCTGTGGACCAGAGTCCTGGCTCCACCTCTTAGAACCTGCAACTCGACCTTGGGCAGGTTCCGCATCTCTGTGGGCCTTGTTTTCCTCACATATAAACTGGGGGTGATAATGGTACGGATCGCAGGGACACTGAGGATCAGAGAGGAAAGGTGCACAGATCACTTGGAGCAGTTTCGTGGCGCCGTGGCTAGCAGTAACCCTCAGCCATTACTGTTACTGTTGTCATTACAGGCACCAGGCCCTCTGGGACCGCTACATGGGCACCCTCCGGGGCTGCCTTCTGCGCCTCTATCATGACTAAGGCCCCCCGCCGCCACCCCACCCGCACTCACAATAAAATTGCCATGATTTTGGAGGAGGCTGTGCATGGGTACACACAGGGGACCTTGCGGGGGGAGGTTCGCATGCGTATGTACCTAAGCGCTATGGTGTCTAGGGATCTGTGTGCAGTGGCCCTGCAAGGACTAGGACACCTCCGGGAGTGATGGCTCTGCTCTCTCTGTCCATTTCCCCACCCAGCTGAGTCCACTTGGAATTCAGGGTCTTGTCATGGTTTATTCAACCCACATCAAGAAGATTGGGAGGATGGGGAAGACCTCGGGGCGCAGCTGGCAAGGATGCGGCTGGCAGAGCAGGAGTGAGCTGGGAGGTGGGTTCAGCGAGGGCAGGTGACGACGTGCTGCTTCTTATCCAGATTCACTCGGGCAGTAAGCGGGAACTTGGTGATGCCACAGGCCTTGCTCCCTCGGTGCAGCCGGAAGTAACCCTAGGCAGTCGGAGGACATCAAGGCCAGGAGGTGGGGAGAGGCCCGCCCTGCCCTTCTCCCCGCAGTAGATCCCACTCACCTCCTCACCCCATTTGGGCCCCCAGGAGTTCTTCAGGATCCAGTATGGGTTGGAGCGAGGATGGCGACGTTTGGATTGGGATGAGGCTGGCTCTGCCGGCCTCCTCTCTACCGACTTGCTGTTACCGAAACCCACCAGCAGGACAACATGGTCCACCTTCCAAGGGTCGCAGGTTCCGGGTTTGGGCTTGATCACACCCTTCTTGTAATCCTTCAGGGGCAGGGGCAGAGGGGCTGAGTCTGGGGCCACACCCCCTATATGTTCCTCCTCCCACTCCCTACCTTATCCTACCTTCAGTAGCTCACTGTTGATGGTCACAGTGATGGGACCCTCCGTGGCCACATACCGGGCAATTCCTGTGGGTAGAAGTGCCATCAGGCCATGCTTGCCCTGCCTCCTGCTTTCAGCTCGTGGCTGTCTCCATCTCTGTCCCATGGACCCCCATTCCTCCATCCCTATCAATTGCCCAGCTTCTCTGCCTCTGTCCTGGTCTGTCCCTGTTATCCCCCTGCCCGTGTCCGCCTGGGCGCCCACCCTGCCCGCACCCTGCTCGTTGGGCGACAGCATGATGAAATCCTGGATCCAGGCCACTTTTTTGTACTTCTTGGCCAGGCACTTGTAGGTTCTGGCCTCTCCCCTGAATGGGTAGTCCTTTTCGCTGGCCAGGCCACCTAGAAGTAAACAAGGCCAGAAGGAGACTCCGCTCCAGAACGTCCCCCCCACCCCTCCGTCCCCCAGAGAGGCCAGCACTCACTGTTGTTCAGGACAGCTAGGAACGCGTCCCAGACATAGCCACCGCTACAGCCACTCTTACAGCGGTCACAGTCGAGTATCTCTAGTGTGAAAAGGGACAGTGTGGGTGACCGAGTCCAGGCCCCATCCCCCCACTGGCACACAGGCCCCTTTCCTCAGACACACCTTGCACAGAGACTTCCACAGGTTTTTTAAATTTAATGCTCCACTGGGCCTCGATGTTGCCAGCTGCCGCCATGGCCCAGCAGCAGTTACAGTTTTTCTAGTGGGGAGAGGGCGGGTAAGGGGTCCGGGCCTTGCCCTCTCCTCTCCCTCCCACCACTGAGGCTGGACTGGACCAGGCTGGGTGGGGCAGATACCTGGTCCCTGACAGGGAAGATGACATCTTGTGCCTTCCGCCAGTCACAGGTGGGGGGCACCGACTCCGCCCTCTCATCGGATCCTACCTTTCTGTCCACATTGGGGGCCCTTCCAGCTGCCTTCTGACCCCTGTACAGCTGGCCAAACTCCTCATCTGAGGGACGGATGAGACCACTGAGATTACGATGGTGACCCCTTCTCCCTGTGTTCTGCTTCTGCTGCTCTAGCGTCCATACCCTCAGCCATCGGAGTTCCCATAATACCCTGGGAGACAGGCGAGGATGCCGAGGTGGAGAGAGACCAAGTTCCCTGCTGGGGTGTGTGCCCCTGCACCGGCTACCTGAGCCTTGAACTGAGCTGGGACATAGATAGGCCTCCAGAGTACCTGTCCCTGGTCTTGGTGATTTGGGACAAGCATCTAGGCCTATGACCCTCAGGGTCCCTCTCTGGGAAATGAGTGCCAGCGGCCAGTACCCCTGGAGAGGGCTCTGCTTCCCCGCCCACCACCTAGGGGCCAGAAGGTGTCCCAATACCTGTGAGATCACTGAACGGAGTCACCCCAAACTCTGCTGTGCCCAAGTCCTTCTCCTGCAGCTCCTGAGCCTGGGCCAGGTTGTGGGCAAAGATACCCAGGCGGCGAGCATGCTCTGGACCGAAACAAGGTCTTTCGAGGTTGGCTTCCAAGTCCCCCGGGGACAGGAAGTAGTCACCGGTAGGGAGTCCCCCAACACTTGCCCAGAGGAGGACTGGTCCCTTTCCTGTGCCCCTTGCATGCTCCGCTGCTGATACCTGGGCCACGGAAGTGGGTCCCCAGCCCACCTAGCGTTGGGCTTCCGCAGGAGGCAGGAAGGACACTGCTGCCCACCAAGGCGGGAGCTGGGTGAAGAGTCTGAGGGCCAAGTGACTCGGAAAGTAGGTGGTCGGAGACCGCAGACAGGCTTCCTGTTGCCAGGTCACCTCCTTCACACCTCTGACTACAGGCCTGGGGCTGGGACAGGGCAGGTGTGGGGGAGGATGGGGCACAGGTCCTCAACAAGGGCCAGAAGACGCCCACAGGTCATTCCTCTAAAGGAGCTGAGACCCAGAGAGAAGGCAGGAACAGGGTTGGCAACTCAGGGTGGAGGAGTCCCCAACTTGGGGACAAAATGAGTATCCTTAGGCATTCGCTACGTGAACTCATGACTGGATGGTGGGCTGCTGCCCACTGCCAGGAGTCGAGACTGTGGCTGTGGAGGCGAAGGAGCCTCTAGGACTGGACAGACCCCCTCACAGCTGCCACCTCCCTCCACACTCATAGCGAAGAATGCCCCTGCCCCCTCTGCACATTCAGGAAACGGAGCACACCTCCAGCCGTGCCGCTGCCCCACTGAGAGCTTGGGCCAAGCCCGTGTCCCACCCTGAGCCTCGATTGCCTCATCAATTAAATGGGAGAAGTGGGTTTGGACTGGACGTGTACGGCCCTGGGATACCTGCTGGGCTTGAGTAACTCCGGTTGTACTGGATCTGGAACAAAGTGAAGACCTCTTTCAGCTCCAGCGGCCGGGGACCTGGGTCCTGGAAGGAACCAAGGTAGTGGGGGAGGAGGCTGAGTTAGGAATCTTTGTGGGACCACACCTTGGCTTCCAACCAGGACTGGGTGAAGGGATCAGCCAGGTGGCCTGTTTTGTCTCTCTGCATGAGCTTGGGCATAGTCAGCTCTCCAGCCTCAGTGGCCCCGTCTAAGAAGCGGGCACATAGCGGTTGTTTCTGAAGGGGTGAGCCCCAGGCATGGGGCTTGCAGCGGGAGGGGTATGGGGGACGGGCTGTGGGCACTTACCTGGCCTCTGATGCCTTGGGCCAGACCTGCCACCAGGAGAGCCAGGAGGCAGGAGAGAGGGACAGCCAGTGCCATGTTGCTGCAGAGCAAAGTGCCTGGGTGGGCAGGAAGCTGTGCACACCAAACTGGAGGGTGTGAGGGGGCGGGGCTAGAGAAACCGCGGAGGAGAAACCAGCCTGGGAGAGGAAGGCAGACCCCTCAAGAAAAAGGCGCTCAAGCCTCTGTCCCTGCGTGGTCCTCTGCCTGCCTACTCCCTGCTCCCATCCGTTTCTCTTTACTCAACAGGGGCTCTCTGCCCACCCTGTTCTGGGCAATCCTTGGGATCCAAAGATGGATCTGCCCTTAAGGAAACAAGAGGAGACAGGTTCTAAGAGGGCAGTGACATAAAGCCATCAGTACTGTGATGGGTAAGCCCAGGGGCCTATGGGAGCCACAGGCCCCTGGCCTCCCTGACTGGGAGGGTGGTCAGTGCACCCTGGGGAAGCGCTCTTGCTCCTTCTACAAAGCTTCTTCAGCTCAGGGGTCACCTCCACAAAACCTTCCCGCTCCCCCACCCCCTGGTGTGACCTGCAGGCCCGTGAGTCCCTGCTGAGTCTGCGCCTGCTTGGAGTCTGCCTTCCAAACACATCAGGGAGAGCTGCCTGCGGCACCTGTGTCCCCAGCTCCCAGGACGTAGCTGGGCGCGGAGCAGGCCTGATGGGATTGCTGACGGAACACACGGTTGGGCATCGTGGGTTTTAAACGGAAATGCAAGTGGCAGGTGCAAGTCAAGGGGACAGCCAGCAGCAACTCCTGCCTCCTTTTTGTTCCTCGTTCCCTTCCCGTCACAATCTGCCTGGGGATGAGGGTACAAAAAGATAGGAGAATTGGCATCTCTGAGCAAGGCCAAGCTTGTGAGGTCAAGGGCAGGGCAGGGGTGCGCATGTCAGTGCTGCCCCCATTGTAAGGGGTCCTTAGGCTGGGGCTCTCCTTATGAGCCTCCAGGCTGGGAACCAGGCCCCCAAGACTGGAGATGGGGGAAAAACGTCTCGCTTTCTCGGGGCTCCATGTAGATGGGAGAGAGGGGACGGGAGGAAGGCTCCAATCTGGGATTCATCTATCCGTGTGCTCACGACCTCAGGTCTTCATTCATTAGGAGCCTGTCCCATTTTGCTATGCCACCTCCACTACCACCCCCGCCAGTAATCCCAGGGACTCCCCTATTTGGAAAAAAAGAGCCTTGCTGCTTTTATTAAAGTTCAGTAAATAGACCATCCATAGAGGGGCCCCTGGCTCCGTGGTTTTAGACCATAGTCATACACCCCAAGCTAGCCTTGGACCGTGTGTGGCCTATGACCAAGGCCCCGTGCATATCCGCCCTCCAAGCCTGAGGTCCCAGTATGAGCACCAAAACGGGTGTCATAAAATCTGTCTCTGTGGTGGTTAGGGTTGTGGAAATTTGGGGGAGGAGAGACTGGGTGTGTGGGGCTGGGCGGCCTTCCTCTCTGACCCACTCTTTCCCTCCCTTAAATGTGAGCCCCACAAGGCCAGGATGTGGGGACCTGGCCCACAAATCAGCCATGTGCCATGGGAGATTTTAGTCTTTTTTGATCAGTGCTTTGTCCCCAGTGCCTAACCCAAAGCCTGGTCAGCGGTGGCCACTCAGTAAACATTTGTTGAATGAATGAACAAACCTCCCCACTCACTCAGCTCACTCACTTGTTCGTTCCCTTGCTCGTCCTGCCCCTTGGGGCGGGCACCCAGTGCGGCTGGGACGTGGGCCCAGGGGCCTCAGGGGCTCCCTGCTTGGGAAGAGCTCATCACTTGGTAGGAGGGAGGCACCAACCAAGATAAGGCCTTGTGACTCAGTGCGGAAGGGATGAAGGCAGGGAAAGCGTTTAGGGTCGCAGAGGGCAGGAGAGGTGTTCTGAGAAGACAACTCTGAGTGGCAGGTGCACTCAGGCCTAAAATCACAAAGATGGACGTTTGGGTCCAAGTTTGAGACGCCACCTGTGCACCCAGCCATTCCCTCCTGGGCCTCTGTTCCTCTTCTCTAAGTGGCAATCCCTTTGACTGGAATGACATGCTGTGGAGCACCTTTGATCCTGGCTGGCACAGAGCAGGTGTTCGCCTGGTGGGTTCTTAATGCTCTGCTGTGGGGCAAAGAGCTCAGAGAGTCCGGGAGGCAGAGGGACTGGAGTTCAAATCCTGTCCTTCCCACTCTGGCTGTGTCTGGACCAACCTCAGCCTCTCACCTGTGAAACGGGGTGATAATGAGCCCCCTGCGCCCCTTTCCTGGCTTCGCCGGGGGATTGCACAAGGGTACACGCTGATGCCTGGAATGGTTAGATCTTAATAATCAAGTACTAGTATTTTTATTATTATTGTAAATAATGGCTTTATTGAGATGTATATGGTAATTCACGTACCATAAAATTCACCCTTGTGAAGTGGAAAATTCATTGTTTTTTAGTGTATCTGTATAATGGTGCAGTCACCACCACTATCTAATTTCAGAGCATTCTCATCATCCCCAAGAAACCCCACACTCGCCCTGGCTGGTGTGGCTCAGTAGATTGAGCACCAGCCTGCGAACCAAAGGGTCACTGGTTCGATTCCCAGTCAGGACACATGCCTGAGTTGTGGGCCAGGTCCCCAGTAGGGGGTGCATGAGAGGCAACCACACATTGATGTTTCCTCCTCTTTGTCCCTCCCTTCCCCTCTGTATAAAAATAAATAAATAAAATCTGAAAAAAAGAAAAAGGAAAACAAACCCCATACTCATTAGCAGTCACTCCCCATTACCTTTCCCCTTATAAACACTAACCTCCTTTGTCTCTCAGATTTGCTTATTCTGGCTGTCACGTAAACAGAACATGTGGCCTTTTGTGTCTGGCTTCTTTCACCTAGTGTAACATTTTCAGGATTTATCCATGTGGTAGCACATACCAGTTCTTTATTCCTTTTTATGGTTGAATAATACTCCATCATATTTTTTATCCATTCATAAACATTTTGTTTAACCATTCATAAGTCAATGGACATGAAATTGTTTCTACATTTTGGTTCTCATGAATAGCGTTGCTATGAACAGGGTGTACAGATGTTTTTATGTGGACATGTTTTCCATTTCCCTGGGTACATACCTAGGAATGAAGTTGCTGGGGTCATGTAACATGTTGAGGATCTGCCAGAATTTTGCCAAAGCGGTGCAGCATCTTAAATTCCCACCCACATTGTAGGAAGGCTCCATTTTCTCTGTGTGCTTGCCAACACTTGCTAATGTCTGTCTTTTGGGGTTTAAACAGCTATTATTTTTAGCCTCCTCACCCAAGCAGCTGGGGAGGATTTGGTGGTGGGGGAGACACTCTCCAATTCACCCTAAACCTAGTGCTCACGTTGGGACCAGCCGAAACGACCTCTTCTCAGCACATCCCCGCCCACGGCGGTGCTGCGTTGGGGGCGATAGTGAGGATAAGCGGGTAGGAAAGGGAAGGGAGGACTCGGCGAACTGCCGCCTGCCCCAGGCCGGGGACCCCTGGACACTCTGCCCTTTCCCGGCCGGCTCCGCCCTGAGACGTGCGCAGGGAGAGACTCCGCCCCTTCCTGGGAGCCAGCTCCGCCTAAACTCCTCCCCCAAAGGCACTCCCTTCATTTGGGGGAGGAGGCGGAGACCCCGAGGCGGGGGGGAACGCGGGTGGGAGGAGGGCCGGGGAGGCTCTGGCACAGCACCCTGGCGTCCTGCACGCTCAAGTTTGGCCCTGCCCGCCTTTTCAGGGGCTTCCATTCATTCTGGGCCAAAAGGGAACTGCAGCCCCCGCCCCCAAACTGTTGTAGCCTCGCGGACGCAGGGCTCGCGGAGGCTGTCGTGGAATGAAGGGACCACCCGGCTGAAGACAGCCCTGGGGATGAAGGGGAGAGGGAACAGAGATGACCAGTTCTGGGCCTGGGAGCTTCTCGTCCTCAGGCGAGGGTCTGGAGACGCTGAAGGAAGTTTTAGTATTTCCAGAGTGACTGTCCGGGTGCACAGAAGAAAATTCTGTGGGGTCTAGATGGAGGACCTGATAGCCCCAGTATTAGGTTAACTCTAGGTGCCCAGGGTGCCGTTCTGGGAGGCTCAGAAAGAGTCTGGGGGCCTCCACATTAAGATGTGGGCGCATAGGATGGAATTCTGGGGGCGCACATTAGGAAGAGGTCTGGGTGCGCAGTATGGCATTATGGGGTGCACAAAGCGAGGGCCTGGGTACTCCCGGGTGACTCTGGGGCCACCAGGATCTAGCGCTACGGGACCCTGGCCCAGAGCCGAGAGGCGGCTCCGGGCGGCGCCGCGGGGGACCGGGTGGGGGCCTGCGGCCAGCCAGGGGCGGAGAAGCGGGGGGTCGGGGTCCCTCCCCCTGGCGCGGGCTCAGGAATCCGCCGAGGGGCGGGCGGAGGCGCCGGGGTGGGCCGCGCCGCGGCAGGCGGGCGGGCGGGGGGCGCTTCCTGGGGCCGCGCGTCCAGGGAGCTGCGCCGTCTGCCCGTCCGTCTGCCCGCAGGCACTGCCGGAACCAGCCGAGCCGCCGGAGCCGTGGGCCGCGGGGGCGTCGCAGGCCCAAGTGAGTGGCTGTCCGTGGGGGGAAAGTGCGAGCCGAAGTCTCGGCCCAGCCGGCGTCAGCGAGGAGCAGATAGGCCCGGGCTCCTCTGCCCGCGCCACTGTGGGACGGGGCGGGGGCGGGGCGGCCCTGGGCGAGTGGGCCCCGAACCCCGGCCTGCTTGAAGAGTCGGCCTGCGTGAAGTCAGCCCTCGGCCCTGGGAGGCTCCGGGGTCCTAAGTGCGGTCCCAAGCGGGAGGCGGCTGGGGCCGGGGCTCTAAGAGTCCTGGTACAGGGAATGGGGGTGCCGTGGCAGAGGCGCCCTGACCCCTGCCCACCACCTCCCAGTCCCAGGATGCTCCCCTTCGCCTCCTGCCTCCCCGGGTCTCTACTGCTCTGGGCGCTGCTGCTGTTGCTCTTGGGGGCAGCGTCTCCCCAGGATTCGGAGGAGCCTGACAGCTACACGGTGGGGACCGTGGGGCCACTGGCCTGGGCTGGGCTTGGGGCAGGGACGCAGAGACCAGGATCCTGGGGTGGCTGCTGCTGGAGACGATCTCCCTTCCCCTGGTTGGTGGAGCAGCTGGGGCCATTGTTTGGAGCAGCCCCGGGAGGGTGGCTAGGCTCAGGGCGCTGGTCTTGGCCTGGTCAGTTGGAGGGGATAGGGGGTGAACACTGGCCACCACTGGTCCCCTTGTAGGAATGCACAGATGGCTATGAGTGGGACCCTGACAGCCAGCACTGCCGGGGTGAGTGTGCCTGGGGGACTGACCCACCCCTCAGGAACCGGGAAAGGGATTGGCAACCCCAGCTCTGAGAGCTGCCGCAGCAGGCCAATAGCCTGTCCTCTGCGCAGCTCTGCTTTGCCAAAGCCAGCTCTGGTTCTCTGGGGGCCAGCTCAGCTAGGGGTAGAGGAGCCATCCAGGCCCCTCCCTCTCAGAGAAACCCAGGACACCCCGCCCCCACCTCTGAGTAGGCAGGAGAGCAGCTGGGCACTGGAGCACCGTCTTTAACCACTCTGTGTCTCAGCTGTGTCCCATCACATCCCAAGAGGGCAGTGTCCACAGGGATGTGTAAGGAGGCAGGCATGTCACTCTTGGGCTGAGCCAAGGTCAGAGCTTCGGGAAGGGATAGATTCTCTTAGGGGCAAGAGAACAGGGGTGACTGTAGGAACAGCCACCCCACCAACAGCCCCTGGCACTCCCGGGAGGGTCCTGGGCAGGCAGCCTTAGCTTGCTGAGAGAGGGAAGGCCCTGCCTGGGTCCCATAGCTTAGGGAAGGCCAGGGCGGGCTTCTGCCTCCCACCCCCTCGACAACCAGCCCAGGAGACTGGCTGTGCACAGCAGGCCCCTCTCTACAGATGTCAACGAGTGCCTGACCATCCCCGAGGCCTGCAAGGGGGAAATGAAATGCATCAACCACTATGGGGGCTACTTGTGCCTGCCCCGCTCAGCTGCCGTCATCAACGACCTGCATGGCGAGGGACCACCACCACCAGTGCCCCCTGCTCAACACCCCAACCCCTGCCCACCAGGCTACGAGCCTGATGAGCAAGAGAGCTGTGTGGGTAAGGGTCACCCTGGCACAGAGGCTTGTAGTCCTCCTACCAAGTGTCTACCCTTAAAAACTAAGACCTTGTGTTCCTCCCTTGCTCAGAAGCCTCTTCAGGGCCACTGGGAGACCACATGGTCCCTCAGCCAGATTCTCACTTTCTGTGGGGCCTGCCACAGATGGCCCCAGCTCCTGTCCCACTGTTCTAGCCACACTGCACGAGCTCTACCTCTTAGCCTCTGCCCCCTTGCCCCTTCCCTGACCTGGCCCCGTCCCTGGGCACCACGGAGCTTGGAAGAAGGCCCTGGAATTAGCGCTCCTAGGAGTGTGGGGAGCGCCTTGTTTCTTATATTTCCCCGGCGTGGGTTCTCACAGGTTAGGGCTGCCTTTCCTGTTGGCTTCCAGGCCGGTGGGCTGTTGTTTATGCTGTTGGGAGGGTCTAATCCATGTGTTCCTGTTTTGGGGGTGCATCACCCACATGGCCCTGTGAGTGGTTCCCGACCTGTGTGTCCTCCAACATTGAGGTGCCTGTCATGTGGGGTGGTACACGGGCTCCCAGGCAGGGGCTGAGTGGTGTCACCTGCAGATGTGGACGAGTGTGCTGAGGCCCTGCACGACTGCCGCCCCAGCCAGCAATGCCACAACCTGCCTGGTTCCTACCAGTGCACCTGCCCCGACGGCTACCGCAAGATTGGGCCTGAATGTGTGGGTGAGTCCAGGGGCTGCCCGGCTAGTTTCCGCCCTGTGCCCCTGGCCTGGCTCTCACCCTGGCACCTGATCCCTATTTCAACCCAGCCTCAGGCTTCACCCCAGACCCCTGCCACCTCTGTCACCAGACATAGCACTGTATGGGTGTACACGTGAGCCCTGGCCGACCTGGTCCAGCCCAGCCCCTAGACACAGACAAGACTACGGGTGGCGAGGCCTTGAGTTCCAGCTGGCCGGGGCCCACCTGACTTCAGCCCTCTGCTCTCCTTCCCCGGCCTCCATCCCAGATATAGACGAGTGCCGCTACCGCTACTGCCAGCACCGCTGTGTGAACTTGCCTGGCTCCTTCCGCTGCCAGTGCGAGCCAGGCTTCCAGCTGGGGCCCAACAACCGCTCCTGTGTGGGTGAGGCTGGGCTGGGCCAGGCTCCTGGGTCCTGGGCAGGGTGGTGTGCGGCAGGGAGCTCCCTTCCTGAGCGGCCCAGGTAAACAGGTGACATGGGGGCCCGGGGCTGCTCCTTGGCTTCCACTCCTCCCATTTTTCCTGGCGCCCCCAGATGTGAATGAATGTGACATGGGAGCTCCGTGTGAGCAGCGCTGCTTCAACTCCTACGGGACCTTCCTGTGTCGTTGCCATCAGGGCTACGAGCTGCACCGGGATGGCTTCTCCTGCAGTGGTGAGAGCTCCGCCCCTGCCAAGTGTTCCTCCAGTGGTCCCCCTGCATCACGCTGCGCCTCCCGCCATATGGTTCTCTATTTGGTGCCCCCAGGTCCCATTCATTCTGCACCCATGTACCTCCCATATACTCCACCCCCGGCTGGTTGCAGGGCACCTGCCGCCCGCAACTCCCATCCCAGCAGGAAAGGCACAGAGGGGAGCATTTAGGCCCCCGCTGAGGCTCAGTGGGGGGACTGAGCAAGGGTGTGGGTGGCCCCTCCTTGGGAGTCAGGCTGGCCTGCATTCAAATCCTGGATTGTGATAAGTCATTCTTCTCTCTAAACCCACTTATCCCTCTGTAAAATGGATTGTCTTGAGAATTAAGTGGGGAAAATGACAACAGATAGGCTTTGTCAAGCCCCAAGCAGCAACATTTTAAAAAATGAATACCTTTATCCAGAACCTTCGCTGGGCAGGGCATTTCCCTTACATACTTGGCCTTATTTAATCCTGCCAACAGGCTTAGGAGGTAAGTATGATTTTTTCCCGTTCTCTTGTGAAATGAGGACGTTGATATCTCCTTCGAGGGTTGTTGGGAGGCTCACAAGAAAATAGTAAGTACGAGGTCCTTGAGCAAAGAGGGGTAAGTGACTCGCCCGAAGGCGCACCGCCAGGGTGAGGCAGGGCCAGGGCCCCGTCCCAACTTCTCACCCCCTGTCGCCCGGCCATGTACCCCGCTTATGTTATGCTTCCCTGCTGAGGAAGGCCCCATTGGTACCCCGGCTCAGGGCTTGGCAGCATGAGGGAGACCGGAGTAGAACACCTGGCACCCGTCTGTGCAGATCACAGTTGGCAGGAGGTGGCTCTGTGCTTGGGCTGATGGTGAGTCGCAGAAATTGGGCAAGCCATTGAAAACCAGAGCAGCCTGCACCCTCAAGTCTCAGCTAGTCTAACCAGTGGTCCCCAACCACTTTGGCACCAGGGACCCATTTCATGGAAGACAATTTTTCCAGGGACTGTGGTAGGGGAAGGGGCTGGTTTCAGGATGAGAGGTTGGCAACCCCGGGTCTAAACTACTCATTTTATTGACAGGAAAACTGAGGTTTCCAAAACTCACTCAGCAGGATTTAAAACCAAGCCTCTAGTGCTTTCATGTAGTTTCGTCTTTCAGTCCTGGGGCTGTAAGCCCTATGAGCTGGGGGTCTGGACAGACCTTTCTTTGAATTCTCTATACCCCTACTGTGCTTTGCTTGGCTGTCTCATCCCGCTCTGTCTTCCCACACTGAGCCTAGCAGGAGGCGTGGTGCTCTGCAAACGGTTGTGGGACTGAACTGAGAGGATTGCCCTTGAGCCAGAGTCTTCATCCCTCCTCTCCCTCAGATATTGATGAGTGCAGCTACTCCAGTTACCTCTGCCAGTACCGCTGTGTCAACGAGCCAGGCCGCTTCTCCTGCCACTGCCCGCAGGGCTACCAGCTGCTGGCCACGCGCCTCTGCCAAGGTACAGGTTGTACAGGGCAGGGACGTGTTGCGGATTGGTGGCCTGAGGTCCAGGTTCCATCCCCTCTCCCCTGGCACAGATATTGATGAGTGTGAATCTGGCGCACACCAGTGCTCTGAGGCCCAAACCTGCATCAACTTCTACGGGGGCTACCGCTGCGTGGACACCAACCGCTGCGTGGAGCCCTATGTCCAGGTGTCTGACAAGTGAGTGAGTACGACGCCACCCCTGCAACTACAACTCCCATTGCGCTCTGCGGCAGCTGCTGTCTGTTAGTGCTGGCAAGTGCCCCAATGGCTTTTGGGAGTTGTAGTCTTTCATGACAACCATGCGTACTGTTAGAGGAGCGGGCGGATCCTTTTGGGATCCCTAAGTTTGAGGATGGGCCAAATTTGGGGAATGGGCTAAGACCTCACTCGTGTCCCCTTTTCGGGGCCCCTAGTCGCTGTCTCTGCCCAGCCTCCAACCCTCTGTGCCGCGAGCAGCCCTCGTCCATCGTGCACCGCTATATGAGCATCACCTCGGAGCGGAGCGTGCCGGCCGATGTGTTCCAGATCCAAGCAACCTCCGTCTATCCTGGTGCCTACAATGCCTTTCAGATCCGTGCCGGAAACTCGCAGGGGGACTTCTACATTAGGGTAAGGCTTCCCCCTAACCCTACCCCTCAAATGACACATAATTCAAAATTGAATTCCAGGAAACCTTAAGTGGGATATTCGATTATGCTACCATGCCCCGCCTCTTCTCAAAGCCCCACCCCCGGGAGGCTGAATTTCTGTAGAAAGGTAGGGGTGTTCTAAATTCCCTTGGTGCAAACTGCAGGTTGTTAAATGTAATTCTCATAAGGCACTCAGACACTGGGGTTTGAGTCCCCCTGCTGGTTACTGTCTCTGTCCCCAGTATCTTCACCTTTTGAGTGAATGACAGGAGAGAGCTTCCTAGGTCACAGGCAGAGTCCAGGAAGGGCAAACAAGTGGAGGGAGGTGGGCCTTAGAGAGAGAGAGGGGCGCATTGGTGCAGCGGCCTGGAGTCAGAGATTCAGCTTTGCGGGTGGATCTGTAGGAGGGCGGGGTCCAGGTGTGAGTCAGTGAGAGGGGTGCTAGAGTGTCTGGTATCAGTTCCTGTCTTCTCCTTCTGAAATTGAAAGCTTTGAAGGGGAGTCTGCCTGTTCCAGGTCACCAAAGGCCCCACCACTCCCCAGAGTCTCACACCTGGCCCTCAATCATCCGCTGACCCTGGCTGGACAAAAAAACTAGCTGGAGAGTGTGGGAAGACCACCACTGGGAGGTTCCCGAGGGCAGGAGCCTGGGTGCAGGGGATATCAAGGGTGTCACGGAGCCAGAGGACAGCCTGGGGTCACAGCCTGGCCAGGGCTCCCTACTTCACAGCCAACTGGTTGTGGGTGCAAAACAGAGGACAGGGAGGTGATGCTGGGGGAGGGCCCTGGCACTCCAGTTGACGCAGTCTCCATGTCCCCCCGCCCACTGTGCTCTGCAGCAAATCAACAATGTCAGCGCCATGCTGGTCCTCGCCCGGCCCGTGACAGGCCCCCGGGAGTATGTGCTGGACCTCGAGATGGTAACCATGAACTCCCTCATGAGCTACAGGGCCAGCTCTGTACTGAGACTCACCGTCTTCGTGGGGGCCTACACCTTCTGATGAGTGGGGCGAGCTCTCAGGGAGGGGGAGGTCCCTGTAGCCAAGGAGCCTGGGGTTCAGGGATGACCATGTTCTGCTAAAAGGGAGGATGCTATTGTGAAGGATAGAGAGAGAAAGGCAATAAAGGGAGAACGAAGGAGTCCTGGTGGCTGAGGTGGGTGGGTAACACTGTAGTGAACCCCAGACTGGGGAAGGGGCCAGGCTCGTGGGAGGCAGGCCAAGTCCACCTACAGCAGGGTTGGCTCAGGCTGAGGGGACCCCACGGACAGAAGTTGGGAGCTGCGTTCCCAAGGCTGAGATTGGTCTACCATGGGCATCAGAACCACCGAGAAGGGCAGTAAGGAGGCTGCAGACTCCAAGCCCCAGCAGAAACCTGGGCTTGGCTGGGAACAGCTCTAGACAGTACCAGGAGGCCCTGGGTTCCAATCCTACCTTGGCCTCAAACTATCAACTTGGACAAACCCTAGTAGCTCCCTGGGACTCCGCTTTCCAACCCATAAAATGAGGCAATTGGACTGTCAGTGCTTTTTAAACTTTTTTTTCCCAAGCCACAGAACCGCTTATCTGAGGAAATTTTATTTGACTCGGGACGCTCTGATGATATAAACTATATTGAAAGTTGCAGCACCTCACCGGCTCCACCTCCCTGCCAGTATCAGTGTTCTACCAGGAAACCCCAGCGTCCTGGGGGGCTCAGTTTAAAATCCACCTGGACATTTTACAAGGCCATTTCCTCTATAACACACGAGGCTGCAAACAATTAGATTTTTATTGTAGCCCAAAAGATTCTGGTTAAAAGGCTGGCTAGCCTGGAAAGATGCGGGCTGGGTCCGTCTGGTGGTCTAGCTCAGGTCAGGGGGCTGGAGCTGCAGTAGAGCTGGGACAAGGTCCTGCTCAGAGCGGGCCCAAGGTTCCTGCGTGGAGACAGAGGCTAACGAGGGTCAGGCCCTGGGCCACAGCAGCTCGGCCCTAGCCGCGCCCCCCGGGTTTTGCCCCTTGCCGCACCTCTGCAGTCTCCCACACTTGATGGTGCTCAGCATCATCTCCTGTTCCTTGGGGGTGGCACAGGCATCATAGGCGGCCAGAAGGCTGGGGATGGGGTGGGGCGTTTGAGTTTCTAAGGCCTGACGATGGCTGCCTGCTGCCCCATCTGAGCAGCTTGGGCCAAAGTCATGAGAGGTAGGCACAAAGGGGTCAGCACTGGTTAAAGGAGTCAGAGCCACTGTCGTACTTCCTGAGCCTGGCATTCAAGGTCCTGCTCTATCCCGCTTGCCCTCCCTCCCTCCTCTTGCAAATGCCCTTCAAGTTCTTGGCTCAGTCTTCATGGCCCAACACCTTCCTCAAGGATGCCTTCTCTGCTGCACCAGGTGGAATGTTCCCCTCCAGGGGGCTCGCCCAACACCTGAGATACTGGCGGGTTCTGGCTGCCACTGTCTTCCTCACCACCCAACCTCCATGAACCGCCCGAGGTTCACCTCTGGGCCTGTACAGCCCTCACAGAACCAGACCCTCCACAAAAGCACTCGTTGGGCTGAATACCCCCCATGGAGGGCAGGGGCAAGGGGCGGGGGGGGGGGGGAGGAGGGCGGGCGGCCTACCTGGCGGGGGTGCTGTACCGATCCACCAGGGCTGCTGCTTTCTCCCCGCTCACTCCCCGGACCTGCATCAGCTGCCGGGCAAACACCTCCCTCACGGACTGGGCCTGGGGTTGGGGGGCGCTGTGTAAGGGGGGGTCTGGGCCCACATGACGTTAAGGGGATACAGGCAGGGCGGTACCTTGTTCTTCATGGCTCCCGTGTTGAAGTCGCCGAAGGTGAGGAGTGAGCAGAGAGGATTTGGGGAGGGCCCAGCCCCTGCTTCGGGATGCGCTGGGGTTCCCCAGGGGCGACTGCGTAGGGTGTGGCCCTGAGAGGAAAGGGGACTGAGGCCAGGCCAGAGCTTTGGGGGAAACCGCCCCCCCCAGCCAGTCCTTGTCAAATCCTAGGACCCAGTGGGCCAGCCTGAAAAATAGGGATGGCACTCACCTCGCCTTCCTTAAGGGAGCCCAGAGCCCAGGGAAGGTACCAGCGCCAGTCATGTGCGCCCGCTCACCTGGTAGAGTCTCTCCAGGCCCCGCGTCAGGAGAGCCAGGTAGGCAGCTGACTCCTTAATGTCCGCTGTACGCTTCACAAAGAACCCATCGATGACCTGGGCAACAGGACCCACAGAGGGAGGTGGCTCCTGGCTCCTGGCTCCTGGCAGGCTATGGGGCCCCTGCCAGCCTGGCCCCGCCCTCCCAGCTCACCTGAGTGTTGGTGACGGCCTGCAGCAGCGTGCTCTCGGGAAGACTGAGGTTGTGCGCTGAGCCATGCTCCTCCACCAGGTACACTAGGCGCCCCAGGCCACAGCGCTTTAGTCGGAACTGGGGACACAGGAGGGAGGAGGGTCAGGGCCATCTGTCAGGTCACAACATCTGCCTGGGACCCTGGCCAATTCACCTCGTCCTCTCTAGTGTTTCTCTCTGTCTCTGAGGGGCCTCCACGCCTTTGTTCGTGCTGTCACTCTTGCATGGAGAGCCCACCTACCATCTTTAATGACACCATCCTTCAAGCCCATCCGGAATCCGACTATGGGGTCGGCCAAGTAGCCAGTCCTGAGAAATAGCTGTTCCTGACCAGCTGGACCCTTGGGTCTTGCTTATGCCAGACGGCAGGGGCTGGACCCTCCAGGGGTCTTTAATGTGCTCCTGAGCCCAGAGAGACACCCCCTGCTCCCGCTGTGCCCTGGAGGGGCCCGAGAGAGTCTGATCTCAGGGCTGCCCTGGAGCAGCTCAGGTGGGGTATGGCTGGCGTTCTGGGAGCTGTGCCTCGAGGCTACCCAGAAGCGGCCTTCTTGCCGAGAAGGAGGCTCTAGAGCACTCAGGAATTAGGGGGTTCAGTGAGGCTGGTAAAGGAACCTTCTGCTCCCGGAAGCGGCCATCAATGATGCTGCTACAGAGGTCATCCAGCCGCTTGCGCTCTACAATGTGGTCCAGGACTAGTTCCCCAGGTCTTGCTGCCGAGAGGAAAAGAAGGTTACCATTGGCTCATATCCCCCCGCCCACCAGGTGGGCCTTTGACACCCACCTTATGGTCCATACCCCTTACCTGGGTCTCTGGGCTTGGTCTCCTGTGCCACCCACACAAAGTCCCCGACATGCAGTTTGCGCACTGTGTGGGTCACGTGCAGCCGCTGCAGCTGACTGAGCAGCACTGTCCTGTGCCCCGCCCTGCAATTGCAAGGTGGGAGGCCTAGGTCAGGGCAGGCCAGTGACACCCACCCCCCACCCCCGGCATCCTCCCCCTCACTTCCCTCCACCTCACTCACCCCTTGGCCTCACCAACGTCCACACACAACAGCACCCTGTACTCTCCAGGCCTCAGCTCTAGTGGTGGCCGCTGGACACTGCCCTCGCTGGCGCCACTACAGGGAAGGGGGCGTTGGCGAGTGAGGACAGAACCTCAGTGCCAGGGCAGTTTCCCTCCAGACCCAGGGGAAGCGGGGCAGCCGGAGCTCGTTGGCGAGTGAGGACAGAACCTCAGTGCCAGGGCAGTTTCCCTCCAGACCCAGGGGAAGCGGGGCAGCCGGAGCTCAGCTGTAGGTGATGGAGACGGGTGGGGTGTTGGCCTCATTTCTGGGACTCCTTCTGCTCCCCCCTTTCCTCACAGCTCAGTTGAGGCTGATCCTGGCACTTCTGGCTCCTCCCCAGGGGACTCCTCTGGCCCGATGCCCACATTCAGGGAGCCCAGGCCCTCTGACTCTGCCAACTTCTGGGCCAGCTCCAGACCCTCCGGAGTCAGAGAGTACCTGGTAGTTGGAGGAGACAAACACAGAACACACATTTCTCTTCTTCATTCATATCTGGCAGGCTCCCCTGCCTGCCCCCAGCTAGCTTGGTGACCCGGCACAAATTAAGTCCAGCGGCTTCTACTCTCAATGCCCTGGGCTGTGTTCTTGCCCTGCAGATCAGCTTTCTCTGGACCTGCCCGGGCCCATTTCTCAGGTGTGCAGTAAGTACGTCTCAGACAAACCTCCTTCCCCCCAATTTTACTCATACTGTTCCTCTCTCCCTGGAATGCCTCTCCTGCATCTCTGCCCTCTGAATTCTAAGACATGTCAAATACCAGGTCCTTAGCAAAGCCTTCCTGCTCCTCCAGTAATCTGTGGCCCCTCCCCTTCCCGCTCACTGCTTGGTCTCTCAGACCCTCCAGTACTCCCAGCGCGGGCTTCTGCGGGTAAGGCCTCCCTTCCCCAACTTCAACGTTATGAAGCCTGCGAATTGCTGGGTGACTGCAGGCCCCACTCAGAACATCAGGCATGGTCCCCCTCCCTGCCGCTTGCAATCCCTTGTGGTTGGTCCCACCTGGCTGGCTGGTGTGTCCTGAGGACCAGGTTCCTGTGGAGGAGAGAGCGGAGGGCTGGCCAGGGTCGTGCATTCCCAGGGTTCACCTGTTCACAGCAGAGAAGACCCTTAGCGTGTCCAGCTCACTCGCTGTGCCCCACACCACTGCTTGCTCCCAAGAAGGGCTGTCTCTCACAAGCTCAGGGTCATATCCAGAGCCGCTCGGCCCCCTCCTTCCCCGCCTCAGTGCTTACCCCAGGAGCCTCCTGCGCACATCTCTGCAGCAGCTGCTCCTTGGTTAGGAAGCTGTGGCCACTGGGACTCTGTAACCAAGGCAGGTTCAGTGGTGCCTGGGTCAGCCTCCGCCAGGAGCCTCACACCCCACTGCCTCAGTTCCCGACTGCGGGTGTAGCCAGGCACTCACCCGGTGTTCCCTGTAGAGCAGCAGCAGTACCGCCCGTGCTCCCGAGTGCCGAGCTGGCCAATAGCTGCCAGAGCCTCCCACTTTAGGCTGGGTTGGAACCTAAAAGGTACAGAGGAGTTTTGAACGTAAAAACCAGAGAGCCATGCATTGTAGACTGAATCCCTGGCACGGCTGAGGTGCAGGTGCTATTTCAGCAGGCTGCATGGCCCTGGATAAGTCACTCAGCTGTCTTTCAGTTTCCAAATCTGCAAAATAGGCCAGATGATGGGATGATCTGCAAAGCTGGTCTGAATTTGGCGGAGAGCTGTGGGGAGGTGGTGTAATTGGCGTGGCCCAGCCTCAGTTCTACCACCTGCTGCAGGCCAAGGGTGGTAAGACACCAAACCCAGTAAGAGCAACCCCCACAGTTTCCTGGGCTTGGCCCCCTAAATAGATTGATTATAGAGTTCTTCCAAATGACTACTAGCAATCAACATACCCATCTACAGATAGAAAATATAAGTATCAGGAATAATCCCTTTGCCCAAGGCTGGGCACCACTGGTAGGGCGCCATCTGGACCCAAGCCTGCTAAATCCCCCAGGCCACGAAGTCTTACTCCTGGTACTCCCACTTTTCGTTTCCCCTTCGTCACTGGCATGGAAGAGTCCTGGACTTCGGCAGGTGGCCCTTCCGGGGCTGGATTGTTTGCTCCAGATGAACCCGGGGCATGATCACCTGCGAGAGCAGAAGAGTCAACTGAGGACCTCAGCGAATCCAGCAGGCGAGAGGGTCTGGGGCGCTGCCAGCTCGTGTGGTAGCTGAGAGGCGAGGCTCTGAGAGAGCCAGCCGTTAACCCAAGGTCAAAGA